TCGTGAAGACAATAGATAGGTCGTTGCATTGTTGGGTCAAAGTGAATCTTAATCTCGTCAACAAGGTTTCCCAAATTCACCTCCAGACGTATTGACATCTGTGAAGAGGTGACCGTCTCATTCCCAGCCATCAACTGATTGCAGTTGTTTAATTGCAATGTCATCCAGCCGCTGCAGGCTATTTCTGAATATAACAAGGCTGGTTAAGAACAGGAGCACACAGCCTCGATTAGAGCTTTAATAAGGTGTAGCAGCTAATGTCCCATGCTGCGTCCCATGGGTGTTTTCCTGTGGCTGTTGCTTCAGTCCAGCCGGATGATAATTTGTCTAACTTTGACATCACCAGCTCAGGAGTAATCCACCAATATTTTGTTTTTGTTTTGTTTTGTTTTGTAAACAACAATTACACCCCCATCAATGTGAAATATGAAAAAAAAACAACTGCATTATAACCACCACTTTGAATTTCCATTAAAATCAACTTATTTTTCCAATATGTTTTAACAAAAAAAAATGAATTAAACAGTAAATTTATTTGCTTCAATGATTAATTGTCAGCAGGTCTTTTCTAAACTAGGACATAAAATGCTTTAAGTGATGATTTATTTTGCATAGGTCAGAATTCACTGTCATTTACACTCAAGAAGTTAAAATGTAACAGATCTGGATTTACATTACAACATGACTTCAAATTAATTTAAGCTGAATGACTGTGTGGTTATGGCACTGGTAAAATGTGTTTGCCATCTAATATGGGAGTCTTGGCCTGTTAAACTTATTAGAAATGCTGCCAGTGCTTTTCACTGCAGCATGCTGTACAGATCTTCTCATCATTAATTTGCTGATCCACTTGTTTGATGTCTGATTTCGCCGCTTCGATGTCCTCATCTATATTTAAACACGTTTTACATTAAATCTGATGGCTGTGCATTCTGCATGATTGCCGGTCAACATGTTAGACAGTTTAAGATTTATTTCAGACTCTGATAATCTAACTGGTGTAAACCCAAGGTGTCACTGCACTGCAACGTTTTGCGGAGCAACGTTCAGGCAATTAGAGTTGGTTTTAACGAGTTTGACCCGTTTTGCTGATTAGATGCATACATCTCCTTCCCCTCTCTTCCCGTTTTGTATCCGTCTCTCTGCTCCTGTCTTTCTCTTCCTCCTTCTCACTTTTTCCATCACTTTTGCAGATGTGTGGAAATTAGACGAACTTTCATCCTGTACAATGCAGAGTCTTTATCCATCTGGATATTCACCAGCAGATCTTGTGTTTGCTTGCCTTTGCAAATGTGATTGCATCATCCCATTCCCAGGTGTGTGTGTGTATTCGTATGACAGGAAAGAGAGGAAACGGAGAAAGCTAGCTGCTGGCTTGCCTTCATGAACGTCTCGGCTTTATCTGCTCAGCCAAGCTGAGCCAGAGCGACAGAGACTGAGAGCAGAAGAAGGTAAGCGAGGGAGGCAGATATGCACGGAGGGAGATACGGCAGAAAAGGCAAAGATACTGGAGTGTGGGAGGGAGCCGGAGTGGAGGGCTTTACACAGATAGAGAAGGTAAACTACAGCCAGAACTGTGAGGGACAAGATGACTTAAGGACAGAGAGAGCTGGAAAACTGCACAAGGTTGTCTGGTTTCAAGAATGAAGGTTTTGAGCAAATCAGAGGAGCAGTGGGTGGGTTAATGATGAATGTTTAAAACAGGTTTTGCAATTGTAGGAGTGGATCTGTGCAGGAAGGATGTAGAGACACTGCATGCCTTCAAATATAATGTTGGTCACATTTTATTATTGGCTCCCCTGGTAAGATGAGTGGAAGCCTTGAAATAATAATAATAACCTCTTATTAAAGTAGGTTATTACACATATGACCTACTCATTTCTACATATTTCACACTAAAAGATGTACGACGGCATGTTTACGCTACTTAAAAGTGTAAAGTCGTACTGATGTCAACAAGAGACGAAAGCAAGTTTACTGGCCTCAAGAAGCAATAAATAAAAATAACTTGTCTTTTGTAATTACACATTGGATATCAGGGAATAAATTCTCTCTACTGATAGTTTTTGCACTGACAGACTGAGGTCTGAGCAAGGTTTGCTGTGCTTCACTTTCACACCACCACATACGGTAAGCAGTCTCCTCAATTCGGAAGAAGTAGCTTTCCATTCATCCGACACACTTTGTGGAGGAAAATTCCCACTGTGGCCGGATAATGAGCCATAACACAAAGAAGACCGTTATCTAACCTTGTCAGACTGGAAGAATGGTGTGACTATGCACATTATGGTCTCTGGCTCAGAGTAAGAAAAAGCTCCGGCTTTTTATTTTTATTTTTTTTGGATTTCCTTAAAGCTACCACAATTATCCTGAATTGCACTATGCCTTAAATGCAGCAACAAAACCCTTTGGCTGTTTTGTGTCTGCAACACAGCCAAAGGGCAAATATGTACATATGCCCCCGGAAATTTAAAAAAAAAAAAAAAAAAGAAATATCTCCTGGCTCCTTACCATTTACTAACAGTTACAAGAGCGCTGAAAATATTGCCTGATGCACATTTTCTGTTCAAGGAGCAATTCTTACATCTACCTGCAAAATCCATCTAGAGCAGTTAGTTACCCCAAACAAACACTCACGGACCACCTAATTTGAAATTGCCACTCAAAATCACATCTTACTATATACAACCTGATATGAAGATATGAGTCTCTGAACTCATTGTCTTTGTTCCTCCTAATGTGAAGGGTGGCTTTGTGAGTGTGACTGGCCACAATAAAACCACAAACGAGTTTTTGAGTTATTTACAGCATGGATTCTAAGCTTCCCAATGATAAAAAACACATGGAAATCCAAAATGTGTTGTGTGCACCAATAACATTTGAGAGCTATTTATAATTTAGAAGCATAATAAAAGAAAAAAAATTGCATTTGCAAAAACAAACATTTACTTTCAGCCTGCACATAGCCCAGATTAAATTATTTTATTTTGGGTGTTAAGATGCGGTTAGTCGGCGTGGGGCGCAGCTCTGTCACTGCCTCATCACAGTCTTATCGCATTCAGCACAGCCACAGACCTAAATCTGCGTACTATGTATCGTAATAGTGTTCAAAATCTAAAGTTCCTGCAACTCACCCTGAGAAACGTTCCACTGGTATCTTCAGGTTTTTTGTTTTTTCTTTAGTTACCGCGTTTTAAGCCGCTTATCCATTATTATTTTTACACACAATACTTTGGAAAGCTAACTGTACCATCGCGCTTTGAACTCACATCACGGCAAATGAGCGGTTGTTTACATGCAGTACCTTAGGGTCCACAGTTTGAGAAAGACTGATCTAGAGTTACCAGATCTCAGTACCATGTTGTCACACCAAGCACAAATGGATGTACATTTTAGTGGCAACACAGAGCCCTGCTAATATTTTCACAGTCTGTCACTGTACAAACACAATTTTAAGTGCAATGTACAACTGCAAATACCAAGACATGGCAATCAACCGAGGCGGTCGGGGCAAGCAGAGCATTATTAAGAGAAGAGGCCAAGAGGCCCATGATGAGCTGCAAAGATCCACAGCCTACGTGCGTTGATCAGCGGACAAGACGGCAATTAGTCTTGCAATTCGTCTCCACAAATCTGGCCTTCATGAAAGACTTTCAAGAATCCAAACCTTTTTTTAAAAAAAAAAAAAAAAATCCATAAGACGTTCTGTGCAGTTTGTCACAAGCTATAAAAGCGAAAGGGTAAACATTCTGGAAGAATGTGCTGTGGACAAATGAGGCCAGACTGAAACCAGAACAGTGTGGCAAAAGAGTAACACAACCCATCACTGCGGACACCCCATCACTATGGCGATATGTGGCATAAGCAGGATCATGCAGGTTATGTTTTTCTTAAACTGGAAGAAAAGTTGGTTGAAACACAGATGCAGCTGAATACGGGACGATCCTGTAAGAAAACTTAGAAGCTGAAAAAGACTTGACACTTAGGTGGAAGTTTGTTTACCGATCAGACAATTACCTGAAACATTCAGCCAGAGGAAAATAATGATCTAAATCATTATTTTAGATCAAAGCATATTCATGTGTTCAGTGACCCAGTCAGTCCAGACCTGAATCAAGTTGAGAACCAGTGATAAAGTTGTACATTGCAGTTCACTTAGCAGAAGAATGGGCAAACATTTCAGTTTCTCGATATGCAAAGCTGTTATATTTAAAATAAACAGATCAAAAAAAAAAAGATGCTGTAATTGCAGTGAAAAATTGTTCGACTGACTCGAGATGTACAGCAAACGTTTATTTTTATTTGTAAGAACAAAATGTACCGCTTTCACTTTCCAATTACTTGTCACTTTGTGTTAGGTTGTTACATAAAGTTCCAGTAAAATACACCGATATTTGCAGCTGTGCGAAGTTCAAAGGAATTGATGATCTCCCCCCAAACTATGAATAAATTACATTGTTGACAGCATTAGTCTTTGTGTTTCCCCTTTGTTGCTCTGACTTTTTCATAGTTTAGGATCTGGAAAATGTGCTGGTACAAAGGTCAGAAGTGATTTTTCCCAAACTCATGACTCACCTCTGATGCAGACTGCATGATTGCACCGTGGGTGGTGATCCAATCAATAGTGTTAGCTGAATGAGTGGATGAAGGCTGCATCACGACTGGTTATTTGGCGTCTCTGTCAGCGTGTAGTACTATGAATGTGTAGTGAAGGAGTGGGCGTGTGATGACGGTGAAGTCTGGACAGTACACTCATCTTCCAAAGTACAGTCCAGACTCAAAGATCTGATGGTTCCCATCTCTTCATCTGCACCTCCCTCTCAATTCTTCCTCATTATATGTCTCATATGTTTTCTAAACCTTTGATTCCCTCCTCCTCCTCTTCCACCCTTGAAAGATGGAAATCAGGACAGTTCAGCAGCGGAGGGGTTAAGATGAACCCAGCTTTGTGATTGGCTGCCGGCCGGCGGTCTGATCCAGCCTACAGAGAGAGGTAACCAGGCAACCTCAGAGAGGAAGAGGAGAGAAGAGGGGGCAGAGGACCGGGGAGTTAGAGCAAGAGAGGGAAAAAAAAGAAGAAGCGCTGAAAGAAGCCTGACATAGTTTTGTAAGAAAATGTGGAAAAAGATGTAAGGGAGCTTGGGAGCGCTCTCCCCGGGATGGAAGACGGGATTACTGGCCCTGCTGAAACACACTGTGGATGTCTGAGGAACGCAGCAGGAGATAACGCGGGGATGACTGGATTCTTACAGCCTTTTTCTCGAAATGGGAACTAACTGTGCCCAGTTTCGCTGTAGTGCAAAGGTAAGTGCGCAAACGGCCGGGAGTGACGCGGAGCCGCTGAAAGACGGCTGTGCAAGAAAGTGTGCGCACTTTAGACGCCTGTGGATTCAGTGTGCGGGGCTCCTCTCTATCTGCAATGAATTATCCACTACTACTGCTGGTGCAACGGGATTCTACTGCGCTCATCTGTGTGTGTGTGTGTGTGCGGTGTGTGTGTTTGGCGGTTAAAGAGGAGTGACCCCCACCACTCCCTCCCACTGGCACAGTGGTCAGAGTCGTTTGTGTGTCTTTCGGCGGGAGAAAAGCTGCATTTTGGTGTGTGTGGTTACGGGACGCCCCCTCCCCTTCTCCTGCAGATCCAGCCGCACTTCCTGCGTAATAATTTATAATCAGGCGAGATAATCTTAACTTTGTACCCCCCCTTCTCCTCTCAGAGACCCAGCTTTACTGATTACCAGGCTCTTCAATGTGCTTCACTGTTGGATGCTGCCACTGCCTCCAGTAGGGGAAGAAAAAAAAATCTTCGGGGCCAGGGCAGCCTGTGTGTGACTTTACAGTAACCTATTAGACCTCGTGGCCTTTCTTTATTATATTTCATACACGAGTTCACCCTTAATCCTGGTTATTGCATTATGTGGCCATACTGCGCCTACAACTTGCAGTGGGAAAAACTTCCTTTACGCGCCCATCGGTTCGGTTCCTGCCCGTCGCACAATGGGAGCAAGGTGAAATTGACCGAAACGCGGAGGTTACGTTGATGAAGTTTTAGTGCAGAAATGTAGTCAATGGGCTGTGGGCCGCAGCTGCCTCTCAGCCACCGGGTCTTGGTTGATGGAGTAAAGAGGGGTCGGGGATGAATGAGCGCAGCCCCGACCAGTTTGCTTTGAGGGGGGCCCATGCAGGCTCCGCTGCAGCTAAAAGCCGCATTAATCATGAGGCTGTGGCGCTCTGCAGACCCTCACTCTCCTTTCTGCCTCTGCCTGCAAGGCACACGACCCGCATCAGCTGCAGATGCAGCATGTACCTGCTGTCTGCACACCGCTGAACACAGAATCCCCGTTTAAAGTCCTTATTGTGAATTCCTCTCTGAGAAGCACTTTTTTTTTCTTTTTGTATTGAAATAGTTTTATTTTTCAGAAAGTTAAATTGTTGCTACTGCTGCCACTACCGATGATCAGTTTTACATTCATCCAAATCAACAAAATAATTGGACGCTTGTAGTTTAAAACACGTGAACATTTATCATAATTTTCTTCTTGCGAAAACATTCAATTAATGCTGTTAATTGGCCTTAATGTTTACATTTGTGTTCAAAAAGGTTAATTAGGATCAAGTAGCTAACTAAAAAAAAGGAAGAGCTTTTACTTTGAAAGACCGGAAGTGTATGTAGTGACGTTAGCTTAACATTGTGAATTTAAAAGAATTGGAGCGAAGACGTCCCGTGGATATTATTATGAAACATCGAACATGAACAGGTTGTAAAATAAAGTAGTCATAGTCTGAGAATATCCCTGGCTTATGAATCAAATCTTAAATTTGAAGGTTACTGTCAAACATTTTTGTCAAGATTCTAGTGCAAATATCTTAGCAAACGTAAAATAAGACAAAACTAATTTACAAGTAACTTTTTAGCAAGATATAGAAGCATATGTTAAGTAAATAATTCCTTAATATTGATGAATAATATAACAAGACATTTTTCCCACATTATAAGTTAAATTGTGTGCCAATAGAACTAGTACATTTTCATCAATATTAAGAAATTATTTACTTGAAACAAACCTCTATATCTTGCTGAAAAGCTACTTTAAAATCAATTAGTCATATTTCATGTGTAATAAGGTATTTGCTCTAGAAACTAGACCAAAATTACTTGGTAAGATTTTTTTTTTTTTTTTTTTTTTTTTTTTTCCCGGGTTTTTCCCTTTTTTCCTTAAAAACCCCCTTTTTTTGTAACCTGGGGAAAT